GAATAAAATTTAGATAAAGATCAATAGTATAATTATATACCTCCGTCTTATTTTCATAAGGACACTTGCTTCTATAAGAGAACAATAGAGTAACAATTATATAGACTTAGTCTCTAAAGTAAAGGTCTATTCACAGCTTCTTCCTAAAAGGAAAGCTTCTTCCAATTGACAGACAGTTAGTTCATTCTAGATTATAATTTCACCGTTGCGCCTAGTGATCAACGATTACTCGAAATTCCTTCTTCATGTTGCCGAATTGCAGGCAACAATCAGTCTATAACTTTCTTTGCTGATTAGCTCCACATGATCTTAATAATAATTATAATTCGCTTTCACGATATAATTAAAAAGCTATTTTTAATTAAAAAAATAGAATTAAAGTGTATTGCGTCACATTGTAAAAGTTTTTGTGGCACGTCTGTAGCCCACTCCATGAGGGCCATAACGACTTGTCTTAGTCCCAAAAAAGAAATTCTTTATTAGAAAATCAAATATTAAGTATAAATTAACTATAGGGATTTCGTCCGTTTGCGGAATTAACCTAACTACTCACGATACGAACTGACGACAGCCATGCAACACCTGTAATTACTACTAGTTAAATAACTATAAAATTAATTATATTTACCTAACTTGTCAATCCTCTTTCTTATAAATAATAAGAGAATATATCTTTACTAAATAAAGAGACATAGTAAATATTCAAGGAGTGGTAAGGTTTTACGCGGATTATCGTATTAAACAACATGCTTCACTTCGTTTGCTCTAAAACCGACTAATTTTTTTATTTTCACTTTTGCAAGTATACTCACAAGGCGGAATGGTTATCGCACTTAGCATCAGAACATATACTTATTTAAGTTATTTTTAGTTTTAGATATAATCCAAAAATTAAAAATTTTGATTAAAATAAGTAATTTAAACATAAAATATTATATAGTATAAAAATAATCTAAAAAGAAGTAAATTTAAATTTATAATTACACAAATATAAGAAATTACATACCTCTCCTTACCCCGTTAGGGATAGAGATAGAGTATGCGCAGATTAAACTTATTTTAATAACTTGTATACACTCTTACCATTCATCGTTTACAGTGGAGGGTACCAGGGTATCTAATCCTATTTCCTATCTACACCTTCGTTCCTCAGCGTCAATCATTATTGGAAAGGAGCCTTCGCCATGAGTTCTCTACTTAAAATCTACATATTTCAACCCTTCTCTAAGTATTGTCCAATTTCCTCTATTTGATTCTATCTTACCTGTGCGCTTTTATCAAACGCGTAAGCTGCCTACGAACCCTTTACGCCAATTTAAGATGACTAACGTTTGCGTCTCTGGTATTACCGAGTCTTCTGGCACCAGTGTTTGGACGACACTCATCGTAAGGTAACGTCATAATCCTCCCTTACATTATCTAAGGTTACAGATTTCTCCGCAACATTAAATTCCAGTTAGCTCGTTCACTCTTTCGAGCATTGACAAATATTCTTGACTGCAGATTGCAATTGCAATTTGGGTAATTTTCATACCCGATGTGGCCATTCCCTCTCTCAAGCTGGCTATTGATCGTCGGCTAGGTAGGCCTTTACCCTACCAACTACCTATTCAAGTTAAATAGAATCCTATAACGGAAAAGTTCCTTTAATACACTAAATATTCTTATTACCATCAATTTATTTTATTCAACATTAACTTCTTTTTTTGATTACTCAAAAATATAAATTTTATTCTTATAAGTTATATTGATTAAAATTAAATTTAGATATTAAATTTAAATAGTGATTTATTTTCTGTTTCTGAAAGCTATAAGGTATCTTATTTAATTATACTCACCCGTACACCCTTTTAACCGAAATTAAAAGAGATTTGCATGTCTTAAACTACTGGACAACGTTTAGTCAGAACCAAAATTAAATTCTCCTGTAATTTTATACAATTATATTTTTTATTTATAGTTGTAGTATTATATACGCTGTTTAGCGATATTTATTATTTTAAATATGATTAATAGATTTACCACTATAATATGTTAGTAAATTTTATAATCATTCCTACTTATATTTTATCGCGCTCCTTACCCCTCTTCTCAACTGTTTAGCTAAGTAGCTAAAGAGGAGTAGCTAATCTCCTTCTTCCTCTTACATCAGCTCCCCTGTCCCCTAGCAGGTGTAGGAATACGGGAGCTAGGGGGAGAGAGCAGAAGTTGATATGAATAGGGATGAAGCAAGTGCAGAAGAAGAGAGGAAACAGGGAAACAGGTTGGAGTGGCGGGATAAATATAGTGCCTCCGTCCTAAAAGTAGGTAAAATAATCAGTAATATATCTAATAGAATCAATTACTGTAATACAATTTTATCTGTTTAATCAAACAAATTTTAATATAAGGTGTCTAGCTACAGCTTGTCCCTCAAAATTGAAATATACTATTATTGCCTATATCAATGCTTTTTTCACACTCCCTCTGCCTCCGGCCACCCTGCTACGCAGCGTTTGAGACCGTTAGGCAATCAAGCGAGGGATAGAGATAAAGCACAATCAGCATTTATTGTATTCTTTTGTAGTCTCTTTATAATTCAGAGCTGCAATCTTTGCGTTGGACAATCCAGCATGGAAGGACAAGAATATATATAAATGCGGGTTAAGGTAGGAAAAGATATTGTAATATAATATAAATTATTAGTTTAATAGCATTTTAAATTATTAATGATATCTTAATGTTTATCTTAATAACTTTCTTTCGATCCTTGTCATTAAGGAAGAAGCTTAAAACTAAAAAATTTAAAAATAATAAGGCATAAAGCACTGCGCATCTTAATTTTGTTTTTACCCATGCTGCGCTGGAAGGCCTAGGTGGGATAAGATAAAATGGAGCGCAACCCTCCCCTGTGCTAACGCAGGGGTTAGGGCAAAAAATAAAAAAATAAAAATTAATGTCAAATAACATAAATCAAAACAATATTGTGTCTATCCCTGCGCACCTTAGTACCAATGGTGTAGGAAGCGAAGGGCCGGCACAAAATTCTGCACTTAGCGCCTCAAATGCTACGTCTATGCCTTCAGCTTTAATGATCAAACTATTAAAAAAAGTATGTAATATTCAACAACCAGGATCTTTAACTAAAAACTATTTCTATAGTTTTAATAAAGCTAAAAGATATAAAATATATAAACTTTTAAGTCTTATATTTCATATTTTAAATTATTTTTTTGGTACTTTTTATTGTATTATTAGTAAACCTATATATTTATTTACTCAAAACAGTTTAACTATTTACATCAATTATTATATTCCAAGAACTTCTTATAAATTAACTAGAAGACATTACTGAAAATATAAAAAACTTCCCGTAAAATCAGCTACAAAATTAACTTTAGAATTAGAAAAATTAATTAAACTTCTTTCTAATTTATTAAATTTAAAAGTTGAACTTCAATTAAATAAATTAACATATCCTTATCATGATAGTACTATCTTAGCTAAATTAATAGCTTTTAATACTAATAAAAAAAGATTTACATCTATTATGAAAATAATACTTAAAAAAGCTTCTATTATTACTAATACACTTAGAACATATAAAGAAAAAGAAGATTATTATAACGTAGTTTCTGGACCTAAAAACATAAAAATTCATAAAAGTATACCTACAGTATTAACTGGATTAAAAGTAAAAATATCAGGAAGATTAATTACACAAAGAGTAATACCTAAAAAAACTATTTCTAAAGATGAAAAAGGGGGATTTAAAAGAACTAAAAAAAGTATAGTAGACTATGCTGTATTTACTAATAAAAATAAAAGAGGTTCTTATAGCGTAAAAGTATGATCTACAAGTAGAATATGTGTATAAGGCTATGCAATGCTTCTGCCTCCTATCTTATAATACTATATAAAATATCTTAAATTTATAACATAAAATTAGGTTTAATCCCCATATCTAAATCCAAATATTTTTTATAACAATGTCTCATATACTTTCTGATTTATGATTTATTAGCCTCTGCTACGCAGCTGCGCTAATAAATTATTAGTCAAGAAAACTATAAATTAACTTTTAATTTTTAGTAATATTAGCCCCCCTCCCTACACCAGCTACGCAGGTGTGATAACGCGCTTCCTGCAATAGCTGAATGTGAGGGGAGGATGTAAGCTTCTTCTTCCCAGCTATAAGTAGTTGGAGAGATAGAGTGAGGCTAGAAGAGAAAGAAAATAAAAACAATTAAAACCAAAAATATGCCTCAATTAATACCTTTTTATTTCTTAAATCAACTATTTTTTTCTTTTTTAACATTTACTGTTTTAATATATGTTTTATCTAAATATGTATTACCTTTATTTACTTATAAAAACGTAGTTAGATTATATTTAACTAAATTAACAAATAAATCTTAATATATTTTAATCGCGACCCCAGTCCCTGCATTTGATTATCAAATGTGGGAAAGGAACAAGCACATATAAAATATACACTGGTTACACTTTTCACACCACACCTATTCCTACGCTCCCTACCCTAAGGTCTAAGGGTGCGAAGGCTTGGTGCTGATGTGGTGTTAGTGTAATGCTGATACTAGGAAGAGAACGTAGCTCAATATTCCCCAATTAATTATCTCTCTTTTTTGACCGAAGATAGAAGATAGAAAGAGGTTCTTTATCCACTGTGCATGTAGGGGAGAAGGGAAGGATAACTAGGAGATATAGAAATGGTTCAAATTTAAATATCCTAATTTTCAATATTCTAAAAGAGGTAAAATTAGTTTAATGGTAAAATAACGTTTTGTGGTAACGGTGGATCTTGGTTCGAATCCAAAATTTTACCCTTTATATTTATTGCGCTAGCTTTCTTGGCCAAATCTTGATCTAGCATTAACACGTCCCCTCCATCTTATTCTCGCGCTAACGCAGGCTTGCGTTAGCACAGGGGAGGGTAGGTGAGATAATCAAATACAGGGAGAGGGAACATATAATAGATATGATTTTCAATTTTTAATAAAGGGGGAATAGGATAATGGTAGTCCATCGTGCTTGCACCACGAAAGTAAGAGTTCGATTCTCTTTTTCTCCATGGACTTTTTAATATCGTCAAGCCCCTCCACTTCTTAGCTTTAAACCTAAAAGTGGAGAGACTAAAGCCGTAGGGTCCTTTAAATTTTAAAATAAAAAGGGACATGTTTAGTCACCCGAACTTTCGCTCTCATTTATTCTAAATCCTTAGCCCTTGCTAGCTTCAGCTTTTCTGAAACAAGCACAGGGATAGGGTAGAGATAGAGTGATTAAGCACAAATTATAAACTCTAAAAACTTTTATGCGTTTGCAATTCCAATTTAAAGGAAGCAACGATAGGTATAGTAATTACAATAAGATTATGACCAAGCTTTAGTGCCTACGGCCTAAAAACACTTACAATTCTCTATGCGCTTAGCAATTTAGGTAGGATAATACAATCTAGCTTACAATAGCAGGCCTTGCTCTTTACACCCTCTTTATAGCTTCGCAAGCAAAGCGGAGAGAAGGGAAGGGATGAAAGGATGGCATAGAAGAATAGGCATAAAAGCCATCTATCATTTAAAATGTCCGTATGGATAAAAAATCAATAAAAAAATTATGAATTTTTCGTTATTATTATTTTTAGTTGGAATTTTAGGATTTATTTTGAATAGAAAAAATATAATTTTAATGTTAATATCTATAGAACTTATGTTATTAGCAGTAACTTTTTTAATCCTAATTTCTTCCTATAATCTTGATGATAATATAGGTCAAACATTCAGTGTTTATATTATATCAATAGCCGGAGCAGAATCCGTAATAGGTTTAAGTATTGTAGTAGCATATTATAGATTAAGAGGGAATATCTCATTAAGAAGTTAATGTATTTATCAATATTAGTTTTACCTTTATTAGGTTCTTTTATTTCAGGTTTTTTGGGTAGAAAAATAGGAGTAAAAGGTAGTCATTTTATCACTAGTTTCCTATTATTTATCAGTTGTCTTTTGGCTAGTGTAGCCTTTTATGAAGTAGGAGTTAGTTCCTCACCCGTAAGTATCAATTTAACAAGTTGAATTGAATCCGAATATTTATCTATCTCTTGAGAATTTTTATTTGATAGTTTAACAGTATCTATGTTAATACCAGTATTATATGTTTCAACTTTAGTTCATATTTATTCAATATCTTATATGTCTGAAGATCCTCATAATCAAAGATTTTTCTCTTATTTATCATTATTCACATTTTTTATGTTAATATTAGTAACAGGGTCAAATTATTTAATTATGTTTATAGGATGAGAAGGTATAGGAGTATCATCTTATTTATTAATTAATTTCTGATATACTAGAGTTCAAGCAAATAAATCTGCAATATTAGCCTTTACTATGAATAGAGTAGGTGATATGTCTTTAAGTATTGCTTTTTTTTCTATTTTCTGAGTATTTGGAAATTTAGATTATTCAAGTGTATTTAGTTTATCACCCTATATAAATGAAAGTATAATTAGTACAATAGGTTTATTCTTATTATTAGCTGCTATGGGTAAAAGTGCTCAAATAGGTCTTCACGGTTGATTACCTGGATCTATGGAAGGACCTACACCAGTATCAGCTTTAATCCATGCTGCCACATTGGTAACTGCAGGTGTTTATTTATTAATGAGATCTTCTCCTTTAATAGAATACGGAAGTACAGCATTATTAGTAATAATGTGAATAGGTTCAATAACAGCATTCTTTGCTGCTTCTTCTGGTTTACTTCAAAATGATTTAAAAAGAATTATTGCCTTTAGTACTATAAGTCAAATGGGTTATTTATTTATGGCAGTAGGTTTAAGTCAATATAATGTTGCTTTATTCCACTTAGTAAATCATGCTTTCTTTAAAGCATTATTATTCTTAGCTGCTGGTTCTGTAATACATGCAATGGCAGATCAACAAGATATTAGAAGATTAGGAGGTCTAATTAAATTTTTACCTTTTACTTATACTTCAATATTAATAGGATCTTTATCTTTAATGGCTTTACCTTGATTAACTGGATTCTATAGTAAAGATTTAATTATAGAATTAGCTTACTCTCAATATAAATTTAGTGGTCAAGCTGCTTACTGATTAGGAACTATTACTGCTATTTTTACTGCATTTTACTCATTTAGATTAATATCTTTAGTATTCTTAACTTATCCTAATGCTCCTAAATCAGATTATTTAAATACACATGAAGCAAGTATTAGTGTTATAATACCTTTATCTTTATTAGCTTTAGCTAGTATATTTTTTGGTTTTATATTTTCTGATTTATTTGTAGGTATAGGTACTGATTTTTTTGCCAATAGTTTATTTATTCATCCTAATCATATTACTTTAGTAGAAGCGGAATTCTCTTTACCTTTAATCTTTAAACTTTTACCCAGTATTGGAAGTGTATTTGCAGCTATAGCTGCTGTATATTTATATCATAATAAATCATTATCTATTAAATCTATCCAAAATACATCTAGTCCTGTAAAAGGTGGACAAGCAATGATTGAATTTACTGACTTCTCATTTACTAGAAAATTATATACATTCTTTAATGGTAAATATTTAATAGATATTATTTATAATAATTATATTATTGGAGGAGGTTTAAAATTAGGTTATACTATTGCAAAAGTATTAGATAGAGGAGTTATTGAAGTTGTAGGACCTTTTGGTATTTCAGATTTCTTATTTAATACTGGAAAAAATATTAGTAAATGAGATACAGGAATTGTAACTAGTTATGCCCTTTATATTGTTTTAGGGTTAATTTCTATGTTATTTATACTATTCGCTCCTATTATTTTCTATGGTAATATTATGCCTTATAATCCGGATGTTAATTTAATAAACTATTTTAGATTATTATTTATTTTTATACCTGCTGTTCTATTTATTTTAATAGATTAAACAAGCAGAAGACTATCTTCCCCTACCCCTCTAGCACCGGCTATGCCTCCTTCCTTCTCTACCCTAAAGGGTTAGGAAGGATGGAAGCAAGCAAGCGCAGGGTTGGAGATGGATGTGAGAAATAAAACCAATAATTTATTTTAATTTTCCCCATACTTAATACACATTTTATCCTATCATATATAGCGTTTATCCGTCCTATCTATTAATCGCTTATAATTCAACGCAGGCTAGGACAGCTTCCCATCTCCTAGCTAGCAAGAAGCTGGGAAGGAAGGGGATAGGGCTAGGGAAGTAAACGCTATGGCTAGTAGTAGGAAGGCTGGATTAGAATACACAAAACAGGAAGGAGAGGGACGTAAAAAAAGAATAAAGGCGTTAAGAGGAATCGAACCTCTGTTAAAGGTATTAACAGTACCCCGCATAACCACTATGCTATAACACCATAAGGCCTTTTTTAAGATATATATTTTATCTTCTTTTAATAGCACTAATAAGAAAGTAGTTAATAAAAGAGAATGGTGATTCATATTTTTATACATAAATATTCTAATTCTAATAATGTTGCAATATTTAATTAACAACAAAAGAAGTGAACAAAAGTTTTCTTAGCTTAAAGGTAAAGCTGTGTTCTTCTAAAGCATAGATTTTGGTTCGATTCCAAAAGAGAACTAAAATTATAATTTTCTCTCTCTCCTCTCCTCCCTCGCTTCTTTCTTCCCACCTCTACTTATCCCTGGTTGCGAAGCCAGAGAAGAAGCTAGATAACCGAGAAATGGGATGAAAGGCATATAAGAGAGGGACAGAGGCCTTAAATGAAAAAAGGTAAGCATCGTTAGCTAAATTGGTAGAGCGTTTGCCTTCGAAGCAAAAAGTTATTGGTTCGAGTCCAATATGATGTTAAATAATTTGTATTTAGGATCTCTTAGCATATTTATTTTATGAGCTTTGGTTTACTAATGATACTTCCTATGGTAAGTAGTAGTATCCTTATGCTTTAAGATAAAAAATGCTCCGCTTAGATTTTTCTGCCTCACGGTCTTTTCTTAGCAGTATAGCTAATGAATAGACAAGGGATAGGAAGGCATTCAAGCGACTAAATTAATAATATTTTAAGTAATTAAAATAAAGTTAGTTTTTAGTAAGCAAAAACAAAACAAGACCTATCCTATCTCCTATCACTTATCCCATCCTTCTTGGCCTCGTTTGACTGCCTTCTTCGGAGGCCTCAAGCGCAGGCAGAAGAAGCTGGGGGCAATGATAGGGAAAGGGAGGCATCATAATAAAATAAAAAATAAAAATGAATAACAACTTAATCTTCACTATAGCATCTCCATTAGATCAATTCGAAGTAACTAATTTAATTGGAATAAATGCTCCAATCCTTGGATATTTAAATTTAAGTTTAACTAATTTAGGATTATATTCTTTAATAGTATTAACTTTAATTTTATCTCTACATTTATTAACAATAAATAATAATAAAATTATACCTTCAAAATGAAATATTTCTTTAGAAAGTTTCTTTGCTAGCGTAAATTCTATGGTTCGAGATCAAATCGGATCAGCGAATGAAGTATATCTTCCCTTCATATATTCTTTATTCTTTTTCATAATAATAAGTAATTTAGTTGGTAATATACCTTATAACTTTACAATTACTACTTCAGCTATTGTATCTATAGGAGCTAGTTTTACTATTTTCATAGGAGTTACAATTTTAGCTTTATCTATCCATAAATTAGCTTTCTTTTCATTCTTTGTACCAAGTGGAACTCCTCTAGCATTAGTACCATTACTAGTATGAATCGAATTAGTTTCTTATGCAGCAAGAGCCGTATCTTTAGGAGTGCGATTATTTGCTAATATGACAGCAGGTCATACTCTTATAAAAATTTTATCTACATTCTTAGCACAAATGTTTGGTAGCGGTGGTTTATTCTCAGTATTGACTTTAATACCATTCACGATCTTCATGACTTTAATTGGATTAGAACTTGCAGTTTCAGTAATACAAGCTTATGTATTCTGTATTTTAACTAGTTCATATATTAAAGATGCTGTATATCTACACTAATTTTTATATAATTTGTCTTTTTCTATCTTAGCAAATACTACATTAAATATGTAGGAAGAAGGGTAGAATGTATACTCAATCTATATTTATAGGCAATTGGGTTATTTTTTACCCCATTTCCGAGACGCACGCATTATTTTTTCAGCGGGATAATATATCACCAGTCCAGTATTTCTAGAGATTTTTTTAAAAAATCTCATACTGATTTAGAAAATTCATTTCCTGTTGAAGTAAAAATTAGGAAATAGCTTGCACCTAATAAAGCTACCCCACCACCTATTCAATATAAAATATTTAGATCTATTTCTGGTAGAGTAGGGTAATTAGGCATGTAATCTTTTCATGAAGCATGTTCCAACATTTTATTGTTATGCATACTAGCTACATTATCAATAATTTTATTCGAAGAATCTCTAGATTCCCAATATGCTAGAGGGTCTTGCTGTTCTCCACTAGGTGGAAGACTGGATTGCGTTACCACAGGTTCTTGTGCTACCACAGTAGGATGTTGAATAATTTCTGCCTGCGGAGCCTGTTGAGAAACCTGAGCTCCTTCTAATCTTTTATGTTTAGGTTCTAGAGTATCCCCAAACAATCAATTATGTCAAGTTATACTCAAGTATTCTAATAAATTTCTTAAATTAGTAGTAAAATTAATAAAAGGATTGTCAGTTTTACCTTCATCATTTCATTTAATCATGATAGGACCCATAGCACTAGTGAATAAAACTGAAGAGAATACAATTATTGTTCTTAGTTTAGAATATATATATAAAACGATTACCGGGATCATGGCGGCATTAGCTAGAAAAGAAATTATTGCTTTAACTAAAATAAATATTTCTGTTGTGAATTTAATTTTAAGCAATATGTCTTTGAAAGGTTTAAGGTAAGGGAAAGATTTATTTAATTCTTTCGCACTAAAAGAATTGTTTTTATCTTTACTTATTTTATCTCAACTTAAATTTTGTATTTCAGCTTTAACTAATTTTCTTGCTCTTCGAAGAAAGACACCTAATAATCCTCGGGTATTTAAAACTTTAAAGTAGTAATCATATAAATGATTAAATAGCAAGGAGATAGTTACCCTATCAGATCGTTTAAGAATAGTTTCCTGTTTCATTCTATTAAATTTATTACTTAAAAAGTAATCCGTGAAAAATAATTAAATAAAAGTATCAGTTATATGAATGTATATCAAAAAGTATTAAAAGGGGTTATTAAGAATAACATAGCAAATTTATTAAAAAGGAAGACTAAGTTCTAAAAACACAGGTTTATTCTACTAAGTTTTGAATTTAATCATTTGAAATTTATGCCTTCGGGCTAGAATAAAGACATTATTTTAATGTACCTAACTGTGTAAATCCTAAGGGAAACCTTTATATTATTACTTCCTGAAGCAAAACATTGTAGTAAGGAAAGGAAAGGAAATCAACCGAGACTCTGAAAGTAATGGTGAGTGAAATCAGAATAGCCTATAAAATAAAATTCTTATATAAACGTATAAGAGTAAATTGAAATCTTATGGAATATAGATTAATATTTTCTAATTAATATTAGAAAAGTAACCAAAGAAGGTGAAAGTCCTGTAAATTTAATATTTTATTGAAAAAAAGTACGATGAGAGTTAACTTGTCGGAAAATAGGGGAACCATCCTCTAAGGCTAAGTATAATAAATTTAGCGATAGTGAATAGTACTGTGAAGGAAATGGTGAAAACACGTTGTAAACAAATGAAATAGTCTTGAATTAGTAACTCTAGAAGCAGTCGAAATTTAAATATAAAATAAGAATAACGACGTACCTTTTGCATAATGGGTCAGCAAGTTAATGGAAGTAGCAAGGTTAATAACCCTAGCGAAAGCGACTGTAATTATAATTATAATTAACGGGATTAGTTACTTTCATTATACCCGAAACGAGGTGATCTTTCCATGGCCAGATTATAATGGATCGAACGGTTGAATGTTGCATAATTCTCCGAAGAGCTGTGGAAGGGGGTGAAAGGCCAATCGTACCTCGTGATAGCTGGTTTTCCACGAAACATATGTTAGTATGACTTCTACGTATTATTATTAATAATTATAGATTTATGGAGGTACAGCACGTCCGCATGCAATAAACCTTTATATTTAATTACCAAAAGTATTTAAATATAAAATTAAATTTGGGGGGCCTTGAAATCCTACCTTTGCATGTAAATCTCGGAATTACATAAATTGATAGTAGAAATTCAGACTGCTCATGCTAAGGTGGGCAGTCAAAACGGAAACAGCCGTGAGCATGTATTAAGGTCCCAAAATTGATTATTAAGTGAAATTAAGGAAGTTATTCTCTTAATGCAACTATGAAGTGAGCTTGGTAGTCGCTAGTTTTTAAAGACCGTGTAACAACGCAGTAGTCCAGGTTACTTTTTAATTTATCCCTCTGGGTTTAAATTAATATAACCAATATCTCTTCTATCTTCTCGATAGGAGGGAAGGAGTCTAGCACCGAAAATTTAACGGGTCTAAATAATCTACCGAAATCATGCCTTTTTATTCCTTTTTTAATTATATTATTATGATTATATAAGAATAGAAACGGATAGTGGAACATTCAGAACGGTTGAAAAGCAGTGTTTCATTGCTTAGACGTCCCTGAATAGATAATGCTGACATGAGTAACGTAAAAAGAAGTTATAATACTTCTCGCCGAATACGAAAGGGTTTTTAGATTTAAGTTAAACTGACTAAAATTGATAGCGGCCTCTAAGGTTCTTACCCAAATGGGTGAGTCTGATGAGTTTAATATAGAAAGTCCTTTCTGTTATAGGAGAGGACCAGGAAAAAAATTTATATATTACTACCGTACCCTAAACCGACACAGGTTCGTAGGTAGAGAATACTAAGGCGAAGAGATAATGCTTGTAAAGGAACTCGGCAAATTATCTTCATAAGTTAGACGATATGAAGAACCATCGAGTAATTACTAATTTAAAGTTAAATACTCGTAATTGGGTAATTTTAACAATAGATTATTAGTTCCGATGGTGTCACAAAATCGGAGGCCCCGACTGTTTACTTAAAACACAGCTTTCTGCAACGATTAATATCTTTGTATAGGAAGCGAATTTTGCCCAATGCCATTAATATAAGGTTGATAAGCTTTTTAGTAAATTATCGATTGAAGTTCTGGTCAATGGCGGTCTTAACCATGAGGATCCTAAGGTAGCAAAATTAATTGTCCATTAAATGTGGTCCCGACTGAATAAAGTAACGATGGTCTCACTGTCTCTACAAGCATCTCAGTGAAATTGAATTAGCCGTGCAGATGCGGTTTAACTTCGGGTAGACGGGAAGACCCTATGCAACTTTACTGTAGCTAGTTATCACTTGAACATAATCTAGATGTAGAGTATAAGGTAGTCGACATGACTTATGTGAAACACCTTAACTAGATTGATGTTTTTGTTTATCCTTTAAATTTGTACTAATTATTTATTCACTGTACATTTGTATTTATAGGGTAACTTATAAGTATTTATGTTAAACATAATAAGGAGGTGGTACAAGGAAATAATAAGAAGAAAATGGCTAGTTGGCAGTTTGTCT